CTGCACTCTGGAGGTGAAGCCCTTAGTACCCATGAGAGGGGCAATTTCCCTCCCAAGGCACAGTGGCCGTGCTGGCGCGGGAGCCCATCAGGGGTGCTGTTCTGTCCAGTGTTTCCCTCTCCCACCAGGACACCTATGCCTGGGTACTTATGGCCTCTCACTTCTGATTGCTGCCACTAACAAGCCACATTGTGTTGCTTTGCTTAGATTATGAGTTCCAAATACTTATGTTTAATGGAAGGCAATTATTTTCTGGGTGTTTTTTATTTGAGTCAATAAAGAGGTAATGCTGGAGACAAGCTGTATTCTCCTCCATTCTAGTTACAGAAACAGTCTGACATTCACAACACTCAGCCACCTGCGTGCCGCAGCCCCAGAAGCATGGGTCTCGCTAGGGAACTGCCATGTGGTTGGAACAATGACAAAAGCAACTTGCAAGACCCTTCCAGTTTTTGAAGCACAACCAAGAGGCCCAGAGCCCTGCTCTCTTCTTTCTATTTGCCTAATAATCACATTCCTAAAGCTCCATTTCTGCATGGAGCCTCTGCAGAGGGCTAAAGCCGTGTCCCTCTGCCCCCTTGACACTCTGACAGACCAGGGTGTCTATGTGGGCTGTACAGTTTACAGGGGTTTTGAGGCCTGGTCCTGCCTCAGTGATGCCTGTCTTGGGGACAGGGGCTAGAAGAGAAAAGTCTCAGTGTTCAGACTGATTCCTAATACCCATGGTCCTAACACAGGCCTAGAGCTAAAGCACATCTGCGGGTGCCTTTATGAGTGGTGTTCAAAACAACCGCTCTGACCACATCTCCATCTACGTATCCACGGGTCTTATTACTTCAGCGAGCCTTCCTGATGCCTCTGAGGTTCCAAACGCTGTTCTGGGAGAGCACAGAAAGGGGCAGAGATGTGACCGCTCCCCCACAGGTCTGCAGTCCAGCAGGGACAGTGCAGGATCCCTGGTCACAGCAGGGACAGGACTCAAGAGCAGCCAGAAGGGGGCTTGGTGCCCATGTTACCAGGCACCTCCTCACACTGGGAGGTGGCCTCACTGGGGAAATGGGGGTATTCACTCTCAGGCTACATCTAAATGCTTTTGTGTAAATGTGGTGGGATCATGGAGTCCTCACACCTTCTCTTCCGGGAGTTTCAGTGCTCTTCATCCACATTATGAAAAGTGAAAGGGGGCTGTTAGACATCTTTATGGAAGTTTTAATAAACAGCAAGCTAGATGCAGTGGGTCTTTTGTAGGCTGGATGAATGTCATTTACCAAACACAATGGAGGATATTAATACCCTCAGGCAGAGTAATTAAAAGGAGATTTCTGAATGTACTAACCAGAAAATTTAAAAAGTAAGGGGGGTGCAAGTGCATGGGAAGGGGTGTCCAAGAGGCTAATGAGGGGAGATTTTACTCTCTGAGCACCTTCGAATGACAAAGGGGCTCAGAGCCTGGGAAGGGAGGTAGTGCTACAGGTGGTCACACAGGGGCCAGCTCTGTAGCTGGAGGTCCTGGATTTGAATCTGACTCCTCCTGCAAGGGATTACCAGGGACCTTCAAGTTGCTCCACCCTCTGTCTGAGTGACCTCTGAGAGGGGGATGAGAGTAACACTCACAGGATGGGTGTGTGGAGGACTGCAGGTGTGGACTCTCTACATGTCTGCAAGACATGACTTACACGTTTCACTTGTGTGGGAGGACGCTACATACATGTTTCACGTGAAATACATCTAAAAACTTTTCTATTGTGTGTGTGAGGGGATATAAGTATGTCTGGAACATTGTATCTACTTTCTAAGATGTATCTCTGATTGTTATCATTTTCTACCTTTCTGAAGAAGCAAAATTCAGTGAGTTCAGGCAGCCGCCTTTGGCCAGGTGGAATACTGTGCAAACTGCCCCTGGAATGAAGAGTCCATGGTCCTCCCAGTGGGAGCTCTGGCTCTGCCTGGG